ATTCACGAAACATATATTGTAAAAACAGTAGATTAATGGGCGATAGAATAGAGGTATATTTAAGTGATTTTGTAGCCCTCAGCCAAGATACGCGCATATGTTTCTTGTGCGACAGTAGCCATGTTCCACGACACGGGTTTTTCCGGCCACAAGCCCTCGAAAGACGAGATTTTAAAAGAAAGAAAAAAATACGGCGAAAAAGAAAGAAAAGATGACCAACTGGACTCTGGTCAACCACCGCCAGAGACCTTTTTGCCTGCACGTCTCATCTACGTGATCTCGAGCGTATATCTTATGTATATTTTATGTATATGTGAATTCTGAAATCGATTTTGAGAAACGATTAAAATTCCAGTGTATATTGAAAGTATATTTTATGTATATGTGGTGTCGCTGACTTGAATTACGAGAATTTTGAGTGAGTATTTTATGCATATATTAGGTATATTTTATGTATATGTGTGTTGTACAACTTTGGTATATACCCGTAATATGTAAATTTTATATCTGATGGTAACATATAAATCATGTACATAATTTTCATACCCGAAACATACAAATTTTCATATCGAAACATATACTGAAAATATAATCTATATACCCACAAGATATAAGTGCAATATGTACAGAATAGAACTATCTATCAACAAATCAAGCACACCAAGTGTTCGACAATTATCCTCTGAGAAGTTTTTCGTCAAAACAGATTAAAATAATATATATTTAACATACATTGTACATATACTCATCATATAATGTACATATACCACAACACAACACAAACGATAGAGGCGCGATCGATCTTTTTCTTAAGAAAAGTTACGCAAATATAACAAAAAAAAAAAAAAAAAAAATTGACATGTCAATTAACATCAAGGTATCAAGGCGCGATCCCATGATCTAGTTCATATTTGTCCTCCTGCCCATTGAGGAGCATGGTCCGGTCTTCGCACCTCAATCGTTCGCCAAATATTTCTCGGTAGATTTTGGTCTGACTGGAAATTGTCTAAACCGGAAGATGAACTAGGTTTTTGCATTCTAGTCTTGCCAGAAGACTTGCGACTAGGATTATGGTTCGTAATTTTTTCGAAAATTGGTTTTTTTTTTTGAACAAGTTTTTGTTGATTTTTTGGGTAGATTGTACGAAATCGGGCACTCGATCTAATCAATGGTGTGTCGCCAGCACCATTTGTCGACTTTTTTCTATGAGGATGAAGGAGTTTAGTTTTGGCCATTGAAACTTGAATTGGGGAAATTCTGGAGCGGTTTTGCAGAGTGATACGAGACGTGGGGCGGTGGGGATGTTTTGGTAGGACGAGATGAACTTTTATGTTCTTTATTTTTAGGTAAGTGCATCTTTAATTTCAACTAAAATATCTCATTAGCATTTAATGTGCAGATAAAAAGCATATAACGGTTAACAAAAGTGTTATATGAAATTGAATATATTAGTATGGGGTGAAAATTTCTCAATAAAAAATATATGATCACAAAGCTCCCAAAAAAGTGTAGCCCAAACACAATTAAAACCCAAAAATATATAACAAATGTCGAACCATTTCGTGAATGGCCCATGATTAGGGATGCTGATTCCCTTATCGGCCCAAATAGTCATTGTCGATCGCCCTCAGAGTCTTCTGCAATCGCTCTTCGTGTGAAAGAAAAGAACTGATAAAGAAGATGACACCGCCTAATCTGTCACATCCTCAAAAGCTAGCCAAGCACTACATGGATACGCACCACACCACTCTACGCCCCTAGTTGGCACCTTGCCTTTAATGCTCATTCACCCAAAGAAAGGCAGAAGCAAAATAAAAAGACATCCAACATCCTAGATCCTCATCTCTTAATACGAGTTAATCATTCCAAAGCATACATAATACAAACACATAGCTCCTTCCTACACTCCATTCGGTTGTAACTTTATACAAATTATTCAATAAAAATCTCGAAGAAACACTCTCGCTATCGATCAACACAGCCGACCATCAACATCAGTGTCTTGTTTTTGTTTTACGCATTATTTATTTTTCATATTCTCTACAATTAAAAAATACCATAAAATACTCGTAACCCCTACAATGTGGGCTACTATAAACAAATTTTTTTTTTCTCGTGGAGAGTAATTTGTGTTTTTTAATATTTATTTTGACTTTTCGTTTCTAAACAAAATGATCTATATCTACTTTTACTACATATTTTTCCTATAAAATAATAAATAGTAGTATAATTCATTAAGGGCATTCAAAATCTTAATACACAAATATCATTCATTCAATCAGAAAGTAACGCACTCTCATTCACGTCACATTTCCACTAAATCTCTTTACATTTAAACACACACCCTCATTTCCTATCCATTCATTTAAATACATTTATAAGACCCATTATCCATCCAAATTATTAAAATTAAATTAAAACAAAAAAAAATAAAAAAGACACCCCACCATGCCTTAATGAATGCCCACAATGCAACTAGATGGCAAGTTGCTCTTATACAAATTGTTAAATATGTTGGAGTACTTTGCACCAAAAAAAAAAATATGTTGTAGTACTTAAAAATTATAAACCACGAGATTCTGTAATTTTCAATGTTTAATGGTTAGTCTTTGCCACTTACATAAATATGGGTATAAAAGTATATCTTGAGGTACAATATAGATTGAATCATACAATAAATAAATTAAAAATTAAATGGGATATTTTTTTATTTATTTTCCGTTTTCATCTACCAAACTTCGGAGAAAGTATTGCATATTTATGACAAAAAAAAGGATTTTTTTTTTAATCCTTTTTCATCTACCAAACTAACTAGTAAGTTAGCTAAAAAAGTGTTTGATAAATTAACTGATAAATTAGCTGAAATGAAAAAAACTAGATTATTTTGAAAAATTGGCTAAAGAAACTTATCAAATAAGTTCGATCTTTTTAAAAAAGCTCCAACTATTTAACAAGGTTTATTTGAATACAGTGAACTTATCAACTAAGTAAATAAATTATAAACTAACTTATTCGTCTACCAATCATAGCTGAGCTCGTAGAAGTGATTAAGCCTTTATCATTAAAAAAAAAAAGGACATCACAGACAAAAATTATTATGTTAACAGGATTTTAGTAACAGAAAGCTTATAAATGATGAATAAAGCTATCTATGTCGCAAGACCTGTTTTCAACTTCATTTATGCCTTCAAAACGAAATGACCAGAAACAAAACCTAATTCCGGTCATTAGATACCACAGGCAAAATTAGCTAAACGGGCTTTTTTAAACAAGCTTGAAATTGACTCATTTATCAAACTAGTCGAGCCAAAATCGAGCCTTGACGAGCCGAGCCCTATATTCTTTTAACAGCACCAATTACAAGCCATCTCAGCCGAAAGATGGTGAATTATGGTTAGGATAATCACGTGTAAATCAGCAATTTTTATACATAACTTCATCACGGATTGCATAATCAATTTAGAAAAAGCTCACACAAAAAAATTCAATTAGATATAATAAAAAAATTTAAAGATTAATTTTAAAATACATCAAATTTTTATTTTTTATTTTTTTAAATCTTGATGGAAACAAGAGAGGTCAGATGGTAGTGCATGAATCTATATTCATCATTCAAATGCAGAACAACTAAAATGGGTAGATATATCATCATTTCATGCCTCTTGTTTGCAATTATTTCAAAAAAAAAAAAATGCCATTATCAAAAATAAATAAATAAAAAACAATTCACTAATAAAAGAATATAAGAAAATATATTATGAAATCAGATAAAAATGTCAATCACCATATTGCATCATCAGTAGATGCAGATTAAGACTGGGGCGACAAAAATAATATCATCATGTTCCTAATAAAAATTAAAAAAATAAAATAAAAAAATCACAAAAAAAACATAAAAAAATAATCAATAAAATTCACATAAATTAAAATTTCAAGAACCCTTTTGGATGAGAGGGTTTATTATACAAATGGAAATAGAAAGTTTTATGAGTAAAATGAAAACAGGTCTTTGATGAGAGAAGAGGAGTTTTTTCCATGGCTTTAAGGGTTGATTGAAAGGGCTTGCGGCTGAGTGGTTTATATAGGAAATTAGACATATTTGGCATTAGGGTTTTGGGTTTAGTTACAAGTTACAACAGTCCCTAATAAATACTTGTAAATCCACCATTAAAAATTAGATTTTTACCTATAGAAAAACATAAATTTTATGGAGTCATCGGATGATTCCTTTATGAAGTCATCCATAACTTTATGTATTGACACGTGCACAAAAGATATTTATTGCACGACACGTGTCACTATACAATTTGTGGATAACTGTGAATGACTCTAAAAGCCGAGCCATCCAATGACTCCTAGCAAAACCGAAAGAAAAGGTCCTTGGCAATTTCTTGATTTTTATTTTTCTTTTTTTTTTTTTACCTTTTAATTATAGTTAATTTTTGTTATACAATGTTTTTCATGAGGTGATATAGTAGTTTTTTTAAACCAAGTCCTGATTTGTCTAATGTGATTTTGTAGGATAATTCTAATTGTACATAATAATTATTAATTAACAAAAAAATTACATACTTAAATATTTATTAAACAAATTTCATCCAATTTGAGTGTAGGAGATCCACTTGATATTTTATTTAGACACACCCATATGTTTATGAGTTATGTTCATCCAGTTTTGCTATGGAGCCATCGGATGGATCGACTTATGGAGCTGTTATTCACAAATAGTGTATTGACACGTGTCCTACAATAAATGCGCTTTGGACAAGTGTCAATACACTAAGTCATGGATGGCTCCATAAGAAAACCATCCGATGGCTCCATAGAATTTTTGTATGTTCATCACTCAACTCTCAAACAGTTAGAAGAGAAGGTCATTCTAAATTTCTAATCAACCTTTTTAAGGGCAACCCCAACAGATGAGCCAAGCCGAACGATGTGTTGGTACAGTGACACAATTCAAACAAAGTTAAAAGACTCAGCAAAATGTACTTCTCAAGCTATTGTAATTCTTGCGGTGATTCAGCCCTCGGATGTGGAGATTCTGATGATTGAGCTTTAGCATCGATTTCTGGCGGGGCCTTCCTAGAACCCTGCAGTGCATGCATAGATAAAAGTCAGACAAACTTAATTAAATGTGCATGTTTATAGGAAGAAGATGTGTAAACGAGTGATTATTTATCCCGGTAAGATAGGCTCGACAAAAGTAGCACTCTCATTAAGAAAAGATGTTAACTTTTGCAGAAATTTTAATCTTTGTTCTTTTTTCCTATTCTACCCGTGCAAAAAATGCCACAAAATGTTATATAATACTGCTCTCAACAAGAAACAAGCCTATGGTTTGCAGAGAACAGGAAAAAAAAAGGTACTTTAAAGAAAGACAGTCTCCCAAATCACGAAAAACAGTGTAAATTCTGAAAAATTTGAACAATGATCCACATCTTTTAAAATACACTTATATTTTGCCCGCGTGACAGTAAATTGTTACGATCAATTAGCAGTTCACTGGGTGGCTTTCAGCAATTTTGGACTAATGTACATAGAAGATGGACCGCTATTTAATATTGCACAACATACCTGTTGATTTTGGCTCACATTCTGAATTGAATTCTGAGGCCTTTCCTTTGGCTGCTGCTGATGTGGTAAATGCTGGTTATCCTGATATTGCTGATACTGCTGCAAAAGAATTTGTTGTCCCTGTTGTTGTTGTTGTTGTTGTTGTTGTTGATAAGCCATTTGATACGACTGATAATGTTGTTCCTGACCTTGCTGATGTGGCAAATGCTGGTTTTGCTGATGTGGCAAATGCTGGTTTTGCTGATGTGGCACCATTGGCTGCTGCCCAAACTGTTGCTGATGTGGCTGCATTTGATAGGGTTGTTGGTTGTAATAGTTGTACTGCATCTGAGAGTAAGCACTCTGCATTTGCTGATACTGTTGCTGAAGTAAATGTTGCTGCTGGTAATGGTAAAACATCTGTGCTTGTGCTTGCCACGACTGTTCATTAGTGTTATAAGAAGCATTTTGATTCGGTGCTGCTGGTGCAGGTGGTCCTTCAGATGGGCCCACCTCCCGGTTAGTTTCTCGATTGTCTCGAACATTCCTTAATTGTTGTGGCTCGTGTTTGGTCTCAACAGAGACATTATTATTATCTGTATTTGTGTTTGTTCGTGCATGATCGACTCCTGAGATACCTTTCGACTCCCGAGATTCCTTTTCATGAGAATGCACGGAAATAATATTACCAGCCACCTCTGTTTCTGGTGACTTTTCGACACCCTGGATTGACTTCTGAGGGACTAAAGCGTTTTCTTTGTACTGAAGCCCATCACTATTGGACAAAAGTAAATCTTTGGTAGCATTATTGTCGTGGCCTTCGAGAGATGACATTTCTTTCGGATATTCCTTTTCCAAATCATTTGAGAAGGATGATTTCGGATTCTTATATGGGGTCTTCTTCATCCTCAAGAACATGGGAAATAATCGAATATGGCGATTCCAAGCTTTTTTTATATCATGTGCAGTTCCACAAAGATTGACAAACTGAAATATTAAAAAAAATATATATATAACAGATGAATTGTAAATCACTTTGTCCTGAAAATTAACAGATTGCGTACAAAAGTATAGTTGGAATGTTTAGCCGATACTGCAAATTTACTCATCAGTCATCACGAGTAGCCACAGAATATGACACATCGAATTTAATTTCAAATCCATGGCAACTAATTACCACAGAATACAGCTCAATAAATCTTTAAGCTGAGAAAAGCAAGATAATATGTCCATAGAAACATCCAACTGAATAAAAACACAGCTAACTAAATTATGTAACTTTTTGAAAACAAGGAATTATGAAGGCAGAACATCGATTTCTCTTTTGGTCCCGAGCAAGTGATTTACTTTTTTTTTTTTTTTGTGTGTGTGTGATTATATGGCACAACAGGTAGAAATTCAAACCTCTAAGAATAAATTTGATATGTCCTCTTGGTCTTTGGCACTCAAACCTCTGTATTCATATACTCCGTTCGAGATGGCATCACCTATTATTGGATCGATCACATTTACATGGCTTGGTCCTTCATGGGTCATTGCAAAATTTATCAATTCCTACATGAAGACGAATAATCAGTTGTCACATGTTATGCAGAAAATGTTCAACTCTGTGCCAATAATAATTAGTAACTAAGAAAATATGCAGACTAACATAGTGCATCGACCAAGTTCAGAATTTTCGATTCGATTATAGACATGGGGGGGGGGTGAAGGTATCTAGAATATTTCGAACCTGTTTGATCAATCATAAATAAAAAATAAAATAAAAAAATTGAAAGACTAATGAAATACCTCTAAAAGGAATCTGCAATGAGGCACGTCTCGTACGCCTCTAATTAGTATATCTCTAGCAGCATCTGCACTACCTGTTGTCTACCAGCCAGTTATGCAGTTAGACACACTGTCTTCATTCATCAATGAGCAAGATACTGAACACTAATAAATTGCTACAAAACATAAATAAATAAATAAAATACTAAAAGATTATAAATTTCACCATTTCTACATCCTAAGGCATTTGAGGTATCGTTATTAGTTTTCAAGCTTCCTCATTATCTTCGATAAATCATTGGGAGGGATTGCTAGAAAGAACTGTGTAAATGAGTTTATAATAGATGAGAAGAAAACTAGAGTAGAATTACATGATGCAGTTGAGAAATTTATTCAAGTTATATACCAAGAGAGTAAGCTGGGCAAAGTGCAAATACAAACAAGGATGAAGGTGTGCCTTTCTTTTCTCCTTAGCAGTTTTGAGTGCTTTCTCGTATGTAGCTGTAGCTGCAGAAAAATTCCCCTGAAAATTTTCGAACAAACAACATTTGAAAAAAAA